ATAATAATAATAAAAAATAGTGCTAATAGCTTTCTAAACACTGAGGAACCCCAAGACTTCAGTATCTTCCATTATAAAATTCAGTTGATTATAGAACAACCATGCTGGCTTTAGGAAAAAAAAAAATAAAATTGCCCAAGACATCTTCTGGCATTTCCATCTCCATCAAAACTGCAGAAAAAAAGTAGTCAGCCATCTCGAAGAAAGAAGCTGGGGCAAATTATGTTACTTTTTCATAGTATTAAACCAGTATTAATACTCATTAGTACTAAAGAGGATGTCTGAATCAAGAAGCTCTAAAGACCTTCAAACTAATTAGAACCAGGGCTTTTCCTTTTCTTTTTTTGAGGAGGGAAGAGGAATGGGATAGCTGTGTTTAAGCCTGTTCAGTGTTCAAATTACTATCTCCACTTTCCCGGTTGCATCATGGTGCTGCTCTGTACCTTTAGTCAGTGCTACTTTGGGGTTTTTTCACACAGGATTATGTGGGGCAGTGTAGACATGCTTGGATATGTTGCTCATGTTAGAGCTGCCACTTCTGCCTGCTCCTTATTGCATGCTCTAGCAAAGGAATTTCAGAGGCAACACCTTCTCACCGTTACTAAAAAGTCTACTGATGCATCAGACTAAAAGCAATACTCTTCTCTTAAAGACACAGACCATGACAGCTAGCGAGAAATCTGAAGACAATCCTACAAGGGCACCTCTGAACAAGATGGATGCCCCTTCTGCCAGCGGCATTATTTTTATGAATCCAGACCCAGACTACTCTGGGATTTAGTCTGCTTCCAAATTTGGCTCACCCAGCCAGCCATGGAATGCTGATGCTGCCTACCAGCTCTGGAAGCACTACAGAGAGAGACACATGGATTTCTGGGTTTTTAAAAAAGTCATCTTGTATGATTAAGAAAAATATTTAGTTCACAGATGGAACATTACAATCCACACACACATGCTGGAGCTGGAGGGAGGCTGAGGAGGGAGAGAATGGATGGCTATGTGCAATATGGTCATTTCTGTAGCTGGGTATACTGCACACAGCCAGCACTCACGTGTTAACCAAATACCAGCTCAGTCAAACAATGGAAGGCTTTCAATCTAAGAGTGGCACCACTAATGTAAATAAATCCATTTCCACCGGCAGCTAGTGGGGTGAGGGAAGAAGTAGTCTCACTGCACCCAGAATTTGCAAGAAAAGTCTATACCTGAAACAAGCACTTCCCTCTCCTCCTCTCTCCTCTTTTCTAAACAAAGAAGTTGTTTCATTCTTTTTCCAAAAGTTGACTGCCTGAGTGGTAACATAAGTTTAACCCAGGCTATTCAAAAGTTAGCTTGGCAACAGACAGTGGCCATTAAAACTGAGAGAAGATCAGTGTCTTGGTAGAAATCAAATAAAAGCAACATGCATGAGAGTATTAAATAGAACCATTAAATAAAACCACTGAATAGCTTCTCTTGATAAGCTACAAATCTGACAATGAACTGCAGTGTCATTTAAGAGAGAGAAGGAAGGAAGGGAGAAAGTGTTGATATCATAGACAGCAGTGTGTGAAACTAACTTCATGGAAGAATGACATTAAAAGGAAAAAATGAATTGCATGCTCGTAACTAATACACACTATTGCATACAACTGTGTTTGTCAGCATTTCTGTAACCACAAAATTGAG